TTCAAAATGAGCGGAAAAACAAAGCAAGGATGAACTACAACATGCCACGTGGCAAAGAAAAAGTATAGAAAATTGACATGTTTCATGTGAAAGAGTCATTTATTAGAAGAGAAGATATAATTATTAAAGAAACTTAAAAATCAATGATGGTGATGGGAAGAGCCTGCAAGAAAGCCTCGTAATGCTTTCTCCACTGAGCCACTGAGCTCTATCCCCTCTTCGCCCCATTCTATGCGTAGTGTGTGGACTGTGGAGAATTCGTGTTATCAAGAGAGATTTTACCAAAACTTCAAACCCAAAACCCTACAAACATGAGAACTTACAGCAGAATTGGTCTTGCTTTCGTGATCAAATGCTTCGCGACGACGATGATAACGATCATCGTCTCGGCGGAGTCACCCCAACCTCCATTTTCATGCGATTCTTCATCACCTACACCACCATACCCCTTCTGCAACGTCAGTTTACCGATTCCCAACCGCGCTCACGACGTCGTTTCACGACTTACGTTAGACGAGAAAGTTTTGCAGCTGGTGAACGGAGCGCCGGGGATTCCTCGCCTTGGGATTTCCGCTTACGAGTGGTGGTCGGAGGCATTGCACGGCATTTCTAGACACGGAAAGGGTGTGAGATTTAACGGGACAATCACCGCCTCAACACAGTTCCCTCAAGTCATCCTCACAGCTGTTTCTTTTGATTCACATCTTTGGTATCGGATTGGTCAGGTCAGTCTTCCATTCTCATTGATGATCTAGGTTTTCTTTTTCTTTCGATTTCACGTTCATTATAGTTATCAGTCAACAAATCAAGCAGCATTCTCTTCCAATTTGATTTAAGATCGATAGTTAACTACAACTCTAGCGAACCTAGGGTTCCATTTAACCATACTTCAAACGGAGAGCAAGCAAAATAGTCTACTATTAGTCAAAATTACGCATGACATTAGATTCCATTGATGAGTTTTCAATGCATATGTAGGCAATTGGGAGAGAAGCAAGAGCAATGTACAATGTAGGTCAAGCAAAGGGGCTAACATTTTGGGCACCAAACATCAACGTGTTAAGAGATCCAAGATGGGGAAGAGCACAAGAGACACCTGGTGAAGATCCATTGGTTGTCGGAGATTATTCAGTTTCATACGTAAGAGGAATTCAAGGTGACAGTTTTGAAGGTGGAAAAATCGATCCAAATTCCGATCATCTTCAAGCCTCCGCTTGCTGTAAACACTTCGTTGCCAATGATTTGGATAACTGGAAAACCGCTAATCGATACAACTTTGATGCCAATGTAAGTCTCAGGTCTCCCTCCTGCATTAATGACTTGTACGTCGTATTTTTTCATGTAATGATGGTTGTACTTTGTGGGTGAGAATTCAGAATTGAGATATTGATATGCAGATTACTCAACAAGATCTTGCAGATACATACTTACCACCATTTAAGCAGTGTGTACAACAAGGGCAAGCGAGTGGAATAATGTGTGCGTATAATCGTGTCAATGGCGTACCAAATTGTGCTGATTACAATCTTTTAACCAAAACAGCTCGTCAAGCTTGGAGCTTTAAAGGGTACCCATAAAAAATCTTTGGAAGCAGAATCTTGATGACAGATATGCATCAGCAACTTGTACGACTGTGTACAAGTTGTTATGTATACGATATGCTTTTTTAACCTGTTTTTATGATCACAATTCACAGGTACATTGCATCAGATTGTGATGCAGTTGCCATTATGCATGATGTTCAAGGATATTCCAAATTACCTGAAGATGCTGTTGCTAGTGTTATAAAAGCTGGTAATTTATGCATTGTTGAGTTGTACCTTTACAATTTAAAGAGTTATCAACGTACAATCTCTAATGGATAAAGTACAAGTCAGTAAAGAACAACTTAAAGAGGTTTTTAATTTTTATTGCAGGTATGGATGTCAACTGTGGTTCTTACTTGAAGAAATACACAAAATCAGCAATCGAAATGAAGAAATTAACAGAAGCAGAAATCGACAGAGCTCTAGAGAATCTATTTACAATCAGAATGAGATTAGGTTTGTTCAACGGAAACCCTAAAACCGGAATCTATGGAAACTTCGGACCCGACGATGTTTGCTCTGAAGAACACCAAAACCTAGCCCTAGAAGCTGCGCGAAACGGCATCGTCTTGTTGAAAAATTCCGGCAAGCTTCTCCCGCTTTCAAAATCCAAAACCAATTCCATCGCCGTCATAGGCCCCAACGCCAATTCCACCCAAACATTGCTCGGAAACTACGAAGGTGTGGCGTGTAAAAACATCACGATTCTTCAAGCACTTGAAAAGTACGTGAAAAACACACACTACCACCCGGGATGTGTTGATTCCGTGAACTGCACTTCCGTCGCCATTGATGAAGCTGTTGGAATAGCAAAAATGGCGGATTACGTGATTATGGTGATGGGTTTGGATCAAAGTCAAGAAAGGGAGAAGCTCGATCGACTTGATTTGGTGCTTCCGGGGAAGCAATCGGCGCTGGTTTCTGCCGTTGCTAGATCTGCTAAAAACCCGGTTTTATTGGTTTTACTTTGTGGAGGTCCGGTAGATGTTTCGTTCGCTAAAGATGACCCGAAAATCGGGTCAATTTTATGGGCCGGATACCCTGGTGAAGCTGGTGCCACCGCTCTCACTGAAATCATCTTCGGTGATCATAATCCAGGTGAACTTCCACTTTGACTTTTTCAGTCAAACATAAAAAAATTTCTAATTCAATATATTAAAAAACATTTTTTTTTGTAGGAGGAAGATTACCAGTGACATGGTATCCAAGGGAATTTGCAAAAGTGGCAATGACGGATATGCGAATGAGACCCGACCCATCATCGGGCTACCCGGGTCGAACATACCGATTCTATAACGGGAAACCTGTTTTTGAATTCGGGTATGGGCTTAGTTACTCGACCCATACCTACAAGTTTGTTTCAAGTACCCAAAACAAGATTTCTCTTGGCCCAAATCAAGAATTGGGCACTTGTTATATGTCCGTTTCTGAGATTCGGGAGGATTTGTGTGAGAAAGCTGAGTTCACGGTGGTGATTGATGTTGAGAATGATGGGGAGGTGAGTAATCACACCGTGTTGCTATTTGTGAGGTGGGATGATCATGGTGAGGATTGGAATGGGCATTTCATCAAACAGCTGATGGGGTTTCAGAGAGTGAGTTTGGGACGAAGGGGAAGAAGTGAAGTTGAGTTTGTTGTAAAGCCTTGTGAGCACTTTAGTAGGGTTAGAGAAGATGGGTTGATGGTTGTGGAAGAAGGGTCTCGTTCCCTTGTTGTGGGTGATCAAGAGTTTACCATTGATGTTATATTATGATAATAAAGATATATAGATGTTAGTGAAATGACTATATTATTAAAGACCATTTTCTAGCCATTGATAATGTTAAAAATATCATTGTATGTTAAAAAAGAACAAAAAAAAAAAACACATGCTTCCCTTAGAAAATGCAATACTTTCTAAATTTTTACCCATTAAAATGAATTTCTCTAATATCTAAAGCATCTGGTAAAAGCCAACACCGTGGAGATATGATAACCTTGAACCCTAGTCACCGTCGTTGGGGGGGGGGGGGGGGGGTTGTTAATGGGAGACACTTTTGAAGTTTATGAGATCCAATGAAACTAGAAATGGGCTGGACCATAGTCACAGAAATCGCTTGGTGAAGCACGATTTCAAATTTAAAGACATGACGAAATTAATATGATTAGGACAGAATTGTACCTCAATGTTGCGTCGGGATGGATTGATGATGGATTGTTTATGATTATATGGATATGTTTGGATAGGGCTCTGCTATTCAGAAATAAACAAACTATTTCAACAGAAGAAGATTGAGATCAACTAAAGTCTTAAAACACTCAAACTTAGCTTGTTTATTCCATATGGACAAAGGCCCTATTTATAGGCTCAAAGGAGCCGAGTATATAATTGAATTGCAATCGTTTGATTGCAATATGACAAACATATTTACATTATAGCCCCCTAGACTATTGAGAGACTTACATACTTTATGTTACATCAAATAATACACTTAATAATTATTCTATTATTCTACCGACACATAAATAATAACAAATCATTTCCATATTGAAAGGCCACATGTCTTCAATAATGATGGCTTTTTATGTCATTGCTTACGTCATTCCTCCC